GCTGAGCCCCAAGAACACCGCGCTCTGTGAGAGAAGCAGACACATGAGGCCACACAGCTGTCCCTCTGAGGACGGCGTCAGCGTCCACTCTCTCTGCCTGCTCTGCATCCATGCCCTCCTTGTGGTAAGAAATTTGGATTCCTGGGGGAAGTGCTCACCCGCCTGCACTCACACGACTGGGGGATCGAGGCCTCGGCCCGGCCACTCAGGACCTCCCACCCCCCACACCATGCTGGCGGTGTGACAGCGGGCAGCTGGCAGGATGGGCCCCACCTGCAGAACCCAAGACACTGTCACGTGCTCCCAGTAGCAAACACCATCACACGTCTAATATTTAACCTACTTTCCAAGATTCTACCGCACCCAATAATACCAGAAATTAATAACAAATGGCCTCTTGGAAATACAAACAAATGCTCTCCAAGGGTCAAAAAGAAGGGAATCAATACAGCAGTGACATCGATAACAGTTTGATATGTCCCAACTCAGGGGACGTGTGCGGTGCCGGACGCTCTACAGCGAGAAGAGGCCTCGAGGTCACGCACCGGGTTGTGACGCTTCTCAGGCAGAGGGAGGCAGGGCCGCACGAGATGCCCACGTGAGTCTGGGGTGTGTGACTCAGGGACTGTTGGGGCAGATATGCCCCAGCCCCGTGATCCCGGTCGTGCCTGGGGCTGAGATCCTGGAGACCACCGGAGGACGATTTCTGTGAAAGGCGCAGTCATCACTCTCATACGGACATAAAATCAACAGTCGTCAGAGTCAGTTTAACCCATTAATCAGTGAAGGGACCAGTAGGACATTCAAACGGTTCCCAGGAGAACCCAATGACTTCCCCATGTGGACGCAAAGCCTTCCACCTGTAGGAGGGACATCAGTCGTCCATTTGCGTGTCTGTGACCAGAGCTGTTTGCAGAGCTCTAGGCCACCCACGGCTCGAAGAGGTGCAATTGGCTCAAAGGCAACAAAGACCCAGAGACACAGACCACCCAGGCCAGGGGTTGGAGAGCCACAGCCCACAGCCGAATCTGACCCTCCAGCTTCCGTCTACACGGCAGAGGCGAGCAGTCGCACGAGGGCCACAAAGCCAACAACAGCCTCTCTGGCCCCTGGCAGAGGCTGTGCTGCTGGCCCTGGCTGGACAGCGCCACTTCCCAGAGAAGCTCCTGGGATCTTTTTGATCGTTTTGAAACCTCACAGGTCTTCCCTGCAGGCCTTTCTCGTCCCATCTGTGAATTTCTGTGATCCTGCAGTTTCAGAATGAGTGTGAATTAACTGTGTAGTGACAAGACACCCTGTCATATTTCGGCACATCTGCGTTGACAATCTTCAAATCCTCTAACAAGGGCGGTGCTCCAGGCCTCTCCTGACCTCTGTCGGGTCCTGCTCCCAGTTCAGCCCCTCCTGCTCTGTCCCCGGGACAGCCCCACGCCTGCTGTAGACGGGCGCTCCAGCCGGCAGCCTCCCCCTGACCTCAGACGAGCCGGGTAACACTGCAGCGGCCACAGCCCCTGCCGGGTAAAGCAGAGACCGGCTGTGCTCACCAGGTGCCACTAAATTGCAGATTCACGAGCAAAATTAACGCTGTCGTAGTTCCACACCACTAAGTTTTTGAGTAACCTTCCATGCAGCCACAGCGCCTGGGATGGCACAGCCGGCTCTGTGGAGGAGACAATGGAGCAGGGAGGGGCCTGCCACTTTCCCAGGCTCAAGGGGAACCCCAGGCCGTCACACACCGAGGTCCTGGCATCACCAGCCAGCTGTGCAATCAGGTGGGTGGGGCCCAGGGAGGCTTCAGTCCAGGACCCTCTACGGAGGGGGAGGGGAGGGATGGTGTGGTGGCCTGTCCTCACAGCCCAGCGGGAAGGCACTTACTGGGGGGGGGGGGTGAGGGGGGCACTCGCTGAGCTCAACACACTGACTGAGGTTTCAGGAAATACGCCTTCTGACATCTAATTTTCTGCAGCTAATTTGCTAAATGCCAATTAAACGCTTGAGCATTCCCTATCACCGGAATGTATTCTCCCCATCTCGTCAGACGTTCTTCATTACTCATGTAACCGTGACTTATCTGCCTGGCGGCCCCATTCAGCTCCTAGAGGGAGACATGACACGAGAGAGAGAGACAGACAGAGGCAGAGAGAGAGGAAGAGAGACTCCCTGGAGAGAATGTGCCCTGTGGGCACCGTGAGGCCTCAGAGAGATGCTCCAGGCACACAGTAGGAGTGCACTAAATACTGGCCTCATGATGATTGAATAGATCTAAGTTTTTCTAAAACCCTGGACCAGAAGGCGTTGGACCCCACATTGTGAGGACGGCGCACTGAGGGGGAGACGCTGGCAGGCACAGAAAGGGTCCCCGTGTCCCTGGCTCACTCAAGTGTCGCTAAGGAGCAGAGGCAGCAGGACCATGTGGTGGGCTCAGTGCTCAGAGCACACCTGCCATGGCTGGAGAGGCCACGTTCCTGGGTTTGTGCAGCGGGATGCGATTCTGTTTCAAGCTCTTGTCCGGACAGGACAGAAGTGCGGTCTCTCACAGGCAGGTCCCTTTCCCCTGGCTGGGTGGTGTCGGGGAAGCAGGTGTACGCATCAGGGTTAACCCGGGAAGAGAGAAGTGGTGTCTGACACGGGGGTGGCTACACAGTGACAGGGAGCCCAAGAGGAGAGGAGGCCGCCCAGATATTGGCAACAGCAGGAAGACACCACCACCCCAAGTGGAGGGAGGGACTGTGGTCCCTATTAGGGCTGTGGGGCCCGCGTGGGTGCTCCCAGTGGCCAGCCCTCCAGAGGTGGAGCAGGTGCCGCAGCCCAAAGCCCCACCGTGAGCCACAGTGTGGACTCCTGAGTGGCCCTGGCCCCAGCAGGCAGCGCTCCTATTGGACGGGACGCCTAGGGGCCCCTCCCAGGCACCGGACAAAGGCCAGCCTGGATTTGGTGAGGTTAGCTCTCCCCAGACCCCAGAGAACCTGCACGGGCACAGCAGGCAAGCAGCCGAGGACACACAGACCTCCTTCCTACAGGGCCACAGTCCAGGCGCCCGGCTTGAGGGTCCCGGCTCCACGTGTCCATGCAGGTTTCTGATTCTGGCCTGAGGATGGGGGCTGACCCAGTTCAGAGTGGCCACCCATCCTCAGGGAGGGAGCATGGCAGAGACCCCACCATGCAGGACTCCCAGCCGGCCTGTCAAGGTTTCTGTGTCTCGGGTAGTCTTTCCATAGCCTTAATTATGAAGCAGGAGGGATCAAAATACACACCCATCAGGGGCGATGGAAGGTTCTGGAAGTGGATACAGGTAGTGGTTGCACATCGGGAATGCACCAAATGCCACCGAGTCATACGTTTTAAAATGTTTAATTTTGTCACGTGCGTTTCACCTCAACTTTTTTAATTTAGCCTAAGTATATCTCAAATATTGCATGGTGCATACTGAGACTAAAAACGTATTCATTGTGTATCTGAAATTTTAAAAATTAGTTTTAAAAACTCTAACTCAAGCTAAGAAGTGATCGTGTCCCCAGTGCTACAAAGAAACTCATCACTGACTCCACGCGGTGGAGGGCGGGCGGGCAGGCCTCAGGCACGAGGTGTCCCCACCGGGTTTCCTGAAGGGAAGGCGGGCTGTGGGTTTGTGGCCGTGAAGGCCGGCGAGGTCTAGGAAAGCAGGGCAAGCACAGGAGAGCCCACAGCACAGCACACCCAGTCTGCGCGCTGGCTCCACGCCGAGCCAGGGCTCAGCTCCCAGAGCAAGGTTGCCCCACCCCACAGATCCCAGCAATGAGAGACGGCTGGTGCTCAGAACCAACGGTTCATGGGTTAAAAAAAGAAAAACAAAGACGGGCACTGAGGCTGGGCACCACGGGTCAGGTCAGGGGGTGGGGGGTTTACGTGGAAGGGAGACCCAAGGGGGTTTCCACGGCATCCCACGTGCCAGGCTCTCACGTGAATTTTTATACTATGGTCATACTGCTTTTTTAATTTAAAAACGATAAATAAGTAAAACTGGAGCTGGGTTTTAATCAGGGAGAAGGCAGCTGACTTACATGAAAGGAAATGACTGTTTCGCTCCCTCCCGAGGGAACTGTGGGGGGCAGGGCTGCAGGAAGCCGGAATCCGTCCCCGGGCTCCCGGCAAGAAGCAGGCCTCTGGGGCCCGGCCTGGCCTCAGCTCGGCACTAAACATTCACGGTCAATGTGAAGGTGTCCCAGGACATCCTGCTGACTTTGGGACGCCCTCCAGCAGCACAGGAGGAGCCCACAGCGCCTCTGAGGCCAGACCCCGAAAGGCCACTTCGACACAGATTTGATGGAGAAAACTGACACACACTATGGCCCAACAGGTGCCAGCCACTGTCTTGGGTGCCAGGTCACCCGTGAACAAGGCACCCACATTGCTGCTCTCATGGAGCCGACCCTGCCCTGATGGAGACAGATGGTGCCGGATCACATCAGATCACTTAAGTCCGGGGGACTTAAGTCCGGGGGAGACTCACGCCGAGATGCTGCTCCCAAGAAGGAAGGTGACACCCCGACCTGAGGCGGGAGGAGGCCCCATGGGAAGGTCTGGGTGCAGAGTGCTCCAGGCAGAGGGAACAGCAGGTGCAAAGGCCCTGGGTCAGAGGCTGTGAGCAGAAGAGGGTGGGGGGGCGGGGAGAGGGCATCTCAGAACAGAGGTCCTCAGCAGGGCAGCAGTGACCTTTACAGAGTCCCGGGGTTGCCGCATGTGGACCCTCCCTCCTAAGACGGTGACAACCTCACCTGGGAGCCTTAAGAAATGCAGAACCCAAGGCCCCACCTGGCCCGGCTGTACCAGAATCTGCATTTTCACTCAGATCCAGGCGGTTCTGGAGCCCAGACGGTCTGAGCTCTACCCTCCCCTCTGCTCCCCCTTCTTCCTATCCTGCTCTGGCTACCTCACCGTGTCCACTCAGCCAACCTCACAGCCCCCAGGAAGGGTGACCAGGCAGAGATCTGAAAATGTAACCTGCAAGGTCAAACACGGCCGAGCGCAGCTGCCTGGCCCTGGGGCCCCAGGGCGCCAGGAACAGTTTATTGCAGAGAACACACAATGCTGAACTTGGAAAAAAACAAAGAAAACCGTTTAGGTGTTTTGTAACTTACAAACTCACAGATTATCAAACATATAACATTCCTGGAGCAAAGTGTGAGGTCTCAGCCCCGTCCAGCGCTGCCCCCTGGTGTCCCCGCACTGAGGCTCAGGCAGGGCCCTGGTGGCCTCTGGCAGCCACCTGAGCCCAGGACACTGACCCTTCAGGTGCTAGGCTGCCCAGGACTCTGGCCACCATCCCCCACAAACGTGCACAAGCCCTCTGCACACACGAGTCCTGGGCCTGGGGGCACAGTGATGACCAGGTCACCCATCCTTGGGGACAGTCCAGACAAGCGAAGGGCAGCAGGGCCATGAAGATGAAGCAGGTGCCGTGTGGTATGCACGGGGTGCTGCTACAGAGGGGGCGCTCAAGAGAGGCCTCTCCAGAGCCACGCTCAGCCTGGGGTCTGAATAGTGGGGGCAACGGAGGGGAAAGCTGTGGAGGAAGGGCTTGGTGGAGCAAAGGCCCCAGGGCAGGAACCAGCTTGGCAGGATGAGCAAGGGTAGGCCAGCTAGTGTCCCAAGTCACACAGGGTTCTGTGTACGTGGAGGGGAAAGGACTACACCTTCTGCTCCACCACCTGCCTCCAAGCCTCCGCTGGGCGCAGGCGCACTGGGGTCCTGGGCTGGTGGAGCAGCCCCCTGGAGACCAAACTGCTGCATTAGTCCCCGCTGTGACTCCCAGGGCACCGGAAGCTGCTGCAAGCTCACGCCTGGCTCCCCTGGGGTGGGGGTGCCGGCAGGAGAGGGTGTCCCAGGAGCACAGCGTGGAAACGGGGCTGCCGGGAGCAGCTCTCTCCCTCCCCTCAGGCCAGTGACACCCAGCCCCTTGGCTCACCCCTGCCCGCATTTCCATCAGTCCCTGCCACGCTGCATGAGCCAGCACCCCTCATCTGAACAAACAGGTTTGCAAAAGGAAAGTTCGGGTGCTGCCACCGACGCAGAACCCGGCCCGCCTGGGAGAAGTGGGGCCTCGTGGAAACAGCCCTACTGGAAGCAAAACCGTGCCGTGGGCCTGGGGCTGCTGGGTGTCCACTCTGCTGGGGAAGGGGAGGGAAGGACTGGCCCCCAGCTGTGACTGTCTCTCACTCCCAGGATGCACTGCTGCTTGACACCCACCCGCATACCTAGGACCACGGGTGGTTCCCGGTCCTCCACGGGGCCTGGCTGCGATGGCTTGTGCCCACTCTGTGCTTCCCACCACAACCGACCCGGCCAGAGAGCCCCTCTAGTCACTCCCGGGTCACAGAGGCTAACTGTAGCAGGCAAGGTCCAGGGGCTGCACCAGCAGGGGTGTGGCCCAGCCCAGGACGCGAGGGATGCCAGAGCCGGGAGACTCCTGGGGCCCAGCAGAAGGCGCTGCCCAGCACAGCTGTGACCCTGCCTGGCTGGAGCCCCAGGGCAGAGGCTGTTCCTCTGGGTCCCTCCAGACAGGCCGCCTTGGCTACAGAGAAGGGAGGGCCCATGGGCAGCGCCCTCCAAGGAGGCCTGCAGCACAGCGGGCATGCGGGGCTGCAAGTGGACGAGAAGGCACCCTCCGAGCGTGGCCAGCACTGCTGACGCCAGCCCTGTCCCTAGGGAAGACACAAGCGAGGGATCAGCGCCCCCAGGCCCCTGCCCGCCCACCCACGGCCCAGCTGAGTCACTCTCCTACAAAACCATTTATTGGGGGGGAGGCAGGGCACCCGCCTGGGTCAGCTAAGCGTGAAGTGCTGGGCGCACAGATCGTCCCGCCGGCCCAGCAGGCCCCGGGCCGGGATGAACTCCAGCGGCACCGACTCGGGCCCCTTCTTCAGGTCCCGCTCGAACACCTGCAGGGTAGGAGGCATGGACGGACACGCTCATGCTCTGAGTCCCTGTGTCCCCAGCCCCCCAATCCCCATGAGCCCCCGTGCCTCACCTCAAAGGCAGTGAGCTCCAGGAGTGGCGCGAGGCTGACCTCGGGCACGGACAGCACCTGGTTGATGACACTGGCGGCCTTGGACACCTCAGGGTGGTAATGCCGCTGGAGAGCCTGGAGAGCACACGGACGTCACCACCCCTCTGGGCCCAACCCTCGGAGGCGAAGTCCTACCCTCATGAGAGACAGCAGCCGCTTGAGACAGAGGCACGGACTCCCCCAGGTAACCAGGGTGAGGGGTGAGGTAGGGTCCCTGGACATCTGGAAGAGCTTCTGGGAGAAGCCGGGGGCAGAAAGAGTTTTAGCGCATCAGAGAAGCAGAGGAATGCGGGGGTGGCCAGGCGGGCGGGGGAGCCCAGGTGGGGCAGCTCGAGGGGGCAAGCCAGACACCCTTACCTGCAGCTCCCAGAGGGAGCTCTCCAGGGCTCGGCTCTTGGCTGGGTCCTCCTCTCCGGGGTCATAGGGGTCAGCATCCAGCTCTAGGAATGAAACCCAGACCCTGGTCTGTCACCTGCCACAGTACACCGGCCTCTGGGGCCAGGCCTCCCCGGGGTCCCCGGCCAGCCACTCACCAGGGCCCCCGGGGCGGTGCACAAGCACGCGGCAGGCCGGGTGTCTGCGCAGCAGGTTGCAGATGAAGGGCAGGACCATGAGCAGGGCCTCGGGGGGCGCCGTCAGGGCCAGACGGGACAGGCGCTTGGCAAAGGCAGCCACCAGGTAGGCGGGCAGATGGCTGTGCAGGGTGGTGGCGTGAGCCCCCAGTGTGCTGCTTACCAGCCCCCAGCCCCATCCTGGCCCCGGGCTGCAGCCCCACAGAGCTGGGCCGGACTCAGCTCCAGATGAGGCACTGAGGGCTCTGATGCTCTGAGGCCAGGTCAGGCGCCCCCTGTTCCTCCCAAGTACTCACGAGGAGGACAGAAAAAGGTCGGCCAGGTGGAAGAAACGGGCCCGGTACTTGACGTGGAAGACGGACGGGTCCAGGAGACCGTAGAGCTTGCGGTAGAAGTCGGGGTACTCCCTGGGGGTAGGGGACACACACATAAGAGTAGAAGTACAGAGTGAGGGAGGGCACGGGGTGAGGGAACAGGTCAGAGTCCCAGGGAACCACTGCCCCCAGGGCCGTCCTCTACCCTAGGGAGGCCCAGTAGGCTCCCCAAAGCCACTTGACTCCTGGGGAGAACAGGGACCCCAGCCGGGGACAGGGAGCAGACAGGGGAGAGACGGATAGGAAGGGTTGACAGGCCTGCATGCCCCCAGGTGGACACTCACAGGTTGTGCTTATGAATGAGGATAAAAAGTCCGTTCAAGGCCAAGAGACTGATGGCACCCCCTGCAGACAAACACACAGGTGTGGACCCCAACCCAACTGCACCCGACCTGGAACGTGTCCAGTAAAGCTGGAGGCCACGTGCCAGGCAGGGACGGTGGAGCCACCTGCCCCCAGGCCCGCCTGCCTCGGTCTAGCCATAGGAGGGAAGGAAGCCTCCGGCACACCTGTCACTGGCCGGTTGGGCCCCTTGGTCACGGCCCCGCCAGCTGCATGGCTCTAGGCCCCCAACCACCAGGCACTCGGGGCTCACCAATGTCATAGGCTCGGGTGAGAAAGTCAATCATGAGGCTGGGCTGGGCCAGGTGCGGCAGGATGGAGTCGTGCATAATCACCAGCACCTTCTTGCAGATGCTGAGGGGCAGCTGGGAGGGTTGGAGTGGGTCAGGATGCAGCCTGCCCCACCCTGAGGACCACACAGGCCAGTGGGCCCAGGTCAGCCCCCACCCTGCACCCCTAGCCTTCCCGGCCCTACCTTGTGTTTGAGAAAACCAAGCCACATCAGCTGGAAGGCCCTCCTGTGCTCCTGCAGAGAGAGGGACGGAGGCTGCACACGCCGCTCCAACCCCCACCGCAGGGAGGGGGCAGAACAGGCCCCCCTGCCCCCCAGATGCTGCCCACACTCCTCCTCCTGCGTGTACACAGGGATGAGCAGAAACCGAGGCACCCCAGCCAGCCAGCCAGACACCCTGCATCCCTCACAGCAACTAAGGACGGACGGGCACTGCATTCACAGCCCCCGGGGCAACAGCACTCAGCACCGAGGAGCCTCCTGAGAGGGCAGCAGGCCACCTCTGACCTCTGGCAAAGAGCTGCCTGCAGGCCTCCTCACAGCCTGGGTCCTCATGAGCGGCCCTGGTGGCTAAGGCAGGAAGGAGGTGGCTGGCCCTCTCGCCATGTCCACATGCACTGCCTCCATCTAGACATCAACGGCGCCCCAGGATCAGGCCTGTTCCCAGGGAGGCCACCCACCCTCCAGACCATCTCACCTTCAGGTGAGTAACCTTCCACTTGTCCAACAACTCTGCAAGGAAGGTGAGATGTCACTCAACACGCAGGAGGCAGGCAGTGGCCCGTCAGGGTGCCAGGCTGTGGGGCTCAGGCACCCTGCCCACCTCCCCGCCCAGAGTGCTCACCTGTGCGCCTCACGTAGAAACTGGAGATGTCACTCTCCTGGCGGGGCAGGCTCACGGCAGACAGCAGCATGAAGGCATTGTTGCAGAAAATGAGGGGTACCTGCCAGAGGCGCTGCCTGAGCACCAGGACACCGCACGCCCACTGCCCACCCCCAGAGACGGGACCCAGCCAGCTCACCTCAGGGTGTCCATTGGCAACCCGGGCCACAACGTCTGAGGCCGCCTGCATCGTGTGGTAGCGGATGTCGTCGTGTTCCAGGTACTCCCGGAACTGGGAGAGGAGCAGCGAGCGGTCCTCCTCCAGCGAGAGCAGGCCTTCCACCACCATCTAGGTGCAGGCCAGGAACTGAATGCCTCTCTCACCACCCAGGACGGGGCAACCCAGGGATGGAGCTCACAAGGCAAAGGTCCAAGCTGGCTGCCAGGGTCCCTGCTGAACCCAACAACCAGCAGACTGCCCAAGGAGACCCCCCAAGCTGGCAGCCTTCCCACCTCTCACAGGAGAGGGAGCACCACATACAAGAGCCACCTGTGCCAGGGGCCCATCCCGGTTCTGGCCGATAAGATCTGTTGGGATCCCACCACCCCTTCACCTTGAAGAGCGGGCGCGGGAACAGATAGTTGCCCTCCCACTTGGGTTTCTCCAGGGGGTGTGCTCCTTCCAGCTGCACGAACTTCATGAGCGTTCCAAGGGCCAGCTCCTGGGAATGGTGGACAATGAAGTGGCTGCAGCGTCCCCAACTACTCATCGTCACCCCTGCAGACAGACCCACAGAGATGCCCCCAGGATTCAGGCCTAAATGCCCATGAGGCGTCACCCATGAAAACAGGAGACAGAACGCACCCACCCACCAGAAAACTAGCTGTGAAAAAGAAGGAAAAAGGCTCCTTCCCTAGACAGGTAAGCACGGGGAGACGGGTGCCTGCAGCCGCAGCCCCAGGCCACTGCTGTGTGCGGAGAGTCTGGGGGCTGGGGGTGTGGAGGATGCACAGGGACGAGGCAAGGCCAATGACCCCAAGACTCACTTTGACCTGAAAGGAGGGGTGGGCCAGGAGCTCCCCCAAACAGTTACAGCAGCTGTGGTAACGATGCCTCATCCACATCTTGTACTTCCGTGTGGCGCCCTGGGACCCTGCAGGCGGGGTGAGGGGGGCAGGGTGGTCAGCCCACACTGATGCCCACACATACCAGGCTGGGCCCAGCCCCACCCGCCCACTGCTTTCTATTCAACGCAAGCAGGGAAATGAATGCAAGCAGACCACCATGGCCCATTCCCCCAGCCAGGGAAAGCAACACCCACTCGAAGGCCAGGGTCTCCATCTCCTCATTTCACCCCAATATCTGGGCATCCAAAAACCAGGACAGGCAGCCCTGGTTTTACCTGACGTTACAGTCAGTGTTAAACAGTGTCAAACCCCACAAAGGATACAAACAAACACCCCTTGCTCAATCTGCTCTAAGTCTAGCTATGAGGATACACGTCTTACCCCCACCCAGCAGAATCACCTGTTCCCTCTTCCCACCGTGGACCTGGGGCGCCCAACCTAGACCCCCTGTGACGACACGGTTTGGGGGGGCTCATCTCATTGGCAAGGTCCCCTCCAACCTGGTGAGCGGACGCCCCGGGCCCTCTGGTCGCTCACCTGCCATGACTGTCTCCTCAGGGGGCAGCTGGCCCACAAACAGCTCTCCCCGCTCCAGCAGGGCCCCGAAGAGGCGGCTGCAAGCGCGCACGGCTTCCTGGATCTCCTCCTGGTCCTCCGACTGCGGGGAGATGCCGGTCGCAGGGTGCCCCGACGGGAACTGTGGTCCCTGCCCCCTGTCCCCACTGGACTCCAGCCCCATCGAACCTCACACCAGACCCCGGCGTGACCTCCCGACCATGCCTCTGCCAAACCTCCCGCCGGATCCTCCAATCGGGAAGCCCTGGGAGACTGGGGTGTGGGGGGGCCCAGGCAGAGTCTGGAGCCGCTCTGCGACTGCCCGCACCCGAGCCCGAGGGCTGTCCGTCTGGCCTCCGGCCCCGGGACCGCGGCCGCGACCCCGCCGCCCGCCGCGGACCCACCTGCAGCACGGCCAGGATGTCGAACACGGCGTTGGCCTCGCCGCGGCTCGCCAGCACCGCCTCCAGCAAGCGGCCCAGCGCCCGGCGCGCGCCCCCGGGCCCGGGGTCCCGCTCCATGCCGCCGCCGCCCCACGCGCAAGACACCGGGACTCCGCGCCGCCGCCCGGCGCGCCACTGACGTCACCGCCGGCGCCCCGCTGACGACACCGTCCGGCGCCGGGGTGCCGCTCCACGCCTCTCCCACCCCGCGCGGAAAGGACCCGGCCTCCCCTCGCGGCGCCGCTGACGTCAGCGCCGGGCGCCTCCGCGTCATCGCGCCGCGCCGGGCCGGAGCGGCGTGCGGCCGGCATGGCGCTCTTCCATGTAGCGCGGTACCCGGGCCCCGAGGCGGCCGGGGCGGAGGCCGGGGCGGACGGCCGGGCCCGCGCGCTGCTGGAGCGGCTGCAGTGCCGGGCCCGGGAGCGGCAGCGGCAGAAGCAGCCGCGGCAGCAGGAGGCCGCGCAGCCCGCGGGGCCGGCGGGGAAGCGGCGGCGGCGGCCGCGCAGACCGCGGAGGCGCGAGGGCGGCGGGGCGCCGGAGAGCAAGCGGCGGAGAGCGGACGGCGAGGACGCGGGCGCAGGTGGGGCCCGACGGGGCGGGGCGGGCCATGGAGCCGGGTCCGCGTGGGGCTGACGCGCCGCCCGCCCCGCTTCTGCCGCGCAGGGAGCAGCGAGGAGGCGCCGGAGGAAAGCGGCGTGGGCGCCGAGGCCGCGGAACAGCCGGGGGCCCCGGACGGACGGCCCCCAGAGGAGGCCTCTGGGCCCCCAGCCCACGCCCTGCTGCTCGGGGGCTTCAGGAGGAGCAGGGCGCCAAAGGTGAGCGGCCCGGGGGTGGGAGGCTGCAGGGCGCGGGCGGCTGTCGTTGATCCGCGCGTGTTGGTGGGGTAGCGCGGAGGGTGATGCCTGTGCCTGGTGGGTGTTGGGTCAGTATTCCTTGAGTGAATAACGTCACGGTTTAACGAGCCGCACCTCAGCGTATTGTGCTGTTTTTATTTTGACTGTTTGAATTTTGCACAGATTCAGCATATTTAGTTTCAGTTGTAAAAGTGTTAATTTCTTGTTCCCTATATCAGCATTGTCAAGGTGGTTTTCGTGCTGCTGTCACGGAGGTCTTTCTAAACAGCTTTGCTTATTTGGGGCGCACATTAAGGAGCTTCTGCTGTGCTGTCACCAACCTAGCAAACAAAACGGGAGATTGCACTAGGTTCCTGGGCTAGTCGGGTCTCTATCTTAGTAGGGGAGATTTTTATGCAAACGGATGTGTGACCTTCAGGGCTCTTGGACTATGACGATTACCGTCAGGAAGAGGGGTTTGGCAGGGTGTATAGGGGCACCATTGTGTTGGGGCACGTGTGGAGGTCCATTCTGAGCTGGGATCAGAAGATGGGAATCAGCCTGATTAAGATGTGGACGAGAGGTGTGTGCCAGATAGAGGGCAGGGTTAGGGCAGAGGCCCTCAGGCAACAGTGGGCTTGGTGTGTAAGAACAGAGGTTTGGATAGCTGGGGCACGTCAAGCGATAGGAAAGGAGGTCAGGGCAGGTGAGGGCCAGGTCACAGGGGCACTCTGTGCATGATGATTCAGAGCATGGATGTTGTTGTAGGTGTGAGGGGAAGCCCTTGGGGGTTTCGGGGACGGGCACCTTTTGGTGTTTCTCAATTACTTTAAAGGCTGTGTGGAGAGTGGGTTGTGGGGCATCGAGGGAGAGCTGGGAAACTAGTGAGAAGGTTTGTTGGGACCTCTTTCCTGCAGCCCTCAGCCTGAGTGTCTTGAGTCCTTGGTTTCTGCAGGCCCTGCTCTCCCAGCCAGAAGGGCTCTGGAGTATTCACCTCGCCCCTTTTCTTACTTTTTGTGACAGGTCCAGCCTTTCCTGCCAGCCTGGCTGGCCGAGCCAAGCTGTGTTGAAAAGAACGTCACCAAAGACTTGGTGCCTATTGAGGATGTCCCTGAGGTCCACCCTGACTTACAGAAGAAGTTGCGGGCACATGGCATCTCATCCTACTTTCCAGGTGCCCCAGCCCTGGGCAGAGGATGGGGCAGATTCCTTCTGGAGCATCCTCACACAGAATCATGCAAGGCTATAGCTTAGCAGCTGCCAACACCAACAGCTGCTGTGCACGCACAGCATCGAGTGTGGTCTTGGTCTCTGCATCTTTGGCCACCTGAGCCTGAGACTCCTCAAGGCTCTGATGCTGCCCTTGAGCGAGAGCTGCCCCACCCAAGGTCACAGACCGGGAGAGGCTGCTTCTGGCCTTGGCAACTGTGTTTATTCTGGGTGTCCCTGCACAAACGTGACTTGCCTCTTGCTCTTCCTTGTTCAGTCCAGGCGGCAGTGATTCCTGCTCTCCTGGAGAGCATGGCCAACGGGTTTCTAGTGGGCAGAGGTGGCTACCAGCCCAGCGACCTTTGTGTTTCTGCCCCGACGGGCAGTGGGAAGACCCTGGCCTTTGTCATCCCTTTGGTGCAGGTGAGCGTAAGGAACCCACGTACCCTCCAAGGGGGCTTGATGCACAGGGAGCCAGCCTTGCTGACGCAGGTGGCTGTCTCTCCTGCCGCAGGCCCTGCTCCATCGAGCCGTGTGCCAGGTCCGTGCCCTGGTTGTGCTGCCCACCAAGGAGCTGGCCCAGCAGGTACGTGGACCCTGCACCTGGAGGTCAGACCCAGAGTCCCTGTCTTGGCGGCGTGGGTGCATTGACAAGGCCAGTACAGTGACGGCTAGTCTTCCTTCAGGTGAGCAAAGTGTTCAACGTCTACACAGATGCCACTCCTCTGCGGGTCGCTCTGGTCACCGGGCAGAAGACTCTGGCCAAGGAGCAGGAAACTCTCGTCCAGAGAACGTAGGTCCTGCTGGGCCTGGGCTTTTCAAGAAAATGGGTTTATTAGCTTGTGCAGCAGGAGCAGGCAGCAGGCACGTGGTAGCCACCTGGTCCCCTGGGGAGCAGAGAGCACTGCCATCCGCAGGTTCCCCACGTTGCAGGGGTCAATGGGGGGACACTTGCTAGGCCACTCTCTGCTCCACAGAGTAGATGGCTTCCGCTGCCTGGCTGACATTGTGGTGGCCACGCCTGGCCGCTTGGTGGACCACATCGACCAGACCCCGGGATTCAGCCTCCAGCAGCTCCGTTTCCTGGTAGGTTGCCAGCCCTGAGGGAGGTCCAGGTTTGGAGCTGAGGCTGACCTCAGCTGCCAGACCGCAGGCCTCCTGTCTCCTGCAGGTCATTGACGAGGCCGACAGGATGATAGACAGCATGCATCAATCCTGGCTGCCGCGGGTCATGGCGGCAGCCTTCCCGAGAGAGGGCACCAAGAGCCTCTTTTCTCTGCTCCAGAGAAGGCAGCCCCAGGCCATCACTGCTGCCAGGTAGCCGGCACCGAGCTTGCTCTGCACTCAGCGCAGCCACCTCAGCACGAGCTCCCTCCCTTGGTCTCTCCTGTCTCTGAGACCCACCCCTCCTGGCCTGGTCTGACCTGGGGCAGCCAGCCTTGAGGAAACCCCCCAGGACTGAGGAGGGCAGGCTGGCTGGGCCTCAACTGCTCTCCCAGTGCCTGCCCCTCTTTCAGCACCTGCTGTCCCCAGATGCCGCTGCAGAAGCTGCTCTTCTCGGCCACTCTGACCCAGAACCCCGAGAAGCTGCAGCAGCTCGGCCTCCACCAACCCCGCCTCTTCTCCACGGGGCTGGCACAGCGGGGTTCCAGAGACGCTGACGCAGAGGCGGACGGGGAGTCGGCTGGGAAGTACACCTTCCCCGCAGGGCTCACGGTGAGCGGGGCGCATGGGGACAGGGGGGCGTGCCCAAGCACTCAGGGCCCCGCCAACCCTGTGCTGTCCCCCACAGCACCACTATGTGCCCTGCAGCCTCCGCTCCAAGCCATTGGTTGTCCTGCACCTCGTCTTAGAGATGAACTTCTCAAGGGTCCTCTGTTTTACCAATTCCCGTGAGAACTCCCATAGGTGAGGCCCAGCGGGCCAGCTGGGGGTGGAGGTGGAGGCAGTGGCAGTGGCAGTGGCAGTTCTGGCCCCAGCCCACCTGGCTTTGGCTTTTCCCACCCAGGCTCTTCCTGCTAGCCCAGGCTTTCGGGGGTGTGAGTGTGGCCGAGTTCTCCTCCCGCTACGGGCCTGGCCAGAGGAAGATGATCTTGAAGCAGTTTGAGCAGGGAAAGATACAGCTGTGAGTACTTGGAAAGAGGGGCTGAGGTCCTGCTCTGGGGCGCAGTGGCACCCACCCTAGGTGTCAGCCTGGGCCTCCTGAAGGGTGCCTCCTACAGGAAATTCATCTCCTAACTCTGTGGCGGCATCCCCAGCAGGGCTGGGTGAGGGGGTAGTCCCGGCTCCTGGCCTTGGGCAGGGCCCCCAGCTCCTTGTATCCCCCCAGCCTCATCAGCACAGATGCCATGGCCCGTGGCATCGATGTGCAGGGCGTGCAGCTGGTGGTCAACTATGATGCCCCCCAGTACCTGCGGACCTACGTGCACCGGTGAGGGCTGGCCTGGGGATGCCTGCGTAGGGCTGTTCCATGGTTTGGGTGGCAAGTGGCCTGTCCCATCAGACCCTGAAGGGTTGGGGGGCACTGCTCTGGAGATTGCTGTGCTTGGTTTCAGGGTTGGGAGAACTGCCCGTGCCGGAAAAACTGGACAGGCCTTCACGCTGCTCCTTAAAGTGCAGGTCAGCCCACATGGGTCTTGGCGGGAGGTAGGGGAGGCAGGGGCCTCTGTTCATGGCACCACCGGGGAGGACGGGACCCCCTTCCCAATTATGTGCTTCTCTCCAGGAAAGGAGATTTCTCCGGATGCTGGCTGAAGGCGGGGTGCCTGAACTGGAGCGGCACGACACCCCCAGCAAGCTCCTGCAACCGCTGGTCCCTCGGTACGAGGCGGCCTTGTCCCAGCTGGAGAGGGCTGTCAAGGTGAGGGGCCACAGCGCTCTCCTGTTTCTGGAGAAGACCTGAAGTTGCCACGTAGTAAACGTGGGGAAGGGAGACGAGGCGCTGGGTTTGCCCCCAAGCTTCCTGGCGGAGGAGACCTGGGCTCTGGTGATGGAGGTGCACAGCCCCAGGGGTGCTGTGGCCAGAACCGTGCTTTCTGAGTGAGCACCCCGTGTCTCTTCCTCTTAGGGCCGAGGGGTGGGGCCGGGCCCTGCAGACCAGGGAGGGGTAGGACCGCGCATCGATGAACCCTCTCCTCTCCTCCTACAGGAAGAGCGAAAGCAGAAGGCGGCCTAGGCCAGGGCTGGGGCGGAACAGGCCCTGTCCACGCCAGCGAGGTGTCTGTTTTCTCCTGCTGGGCTTGGCTACCTTCTTTCTAGAAAAACCCTGAGTGCTGATTGCTGGACGTGCGAGCAAAAGACAGGGATTCCTGGGAAAGGGCCTTCCCAGGCACACTGCCCGCTCCTGCCAGGCCCTTGGACGTGAGGCTCTTTTGGCCACTGCACTATGCCTCACGCTGGGGTAACTCGGGCCCAGGCCTGAGACCGTCAGGGATGCATAAGATCAGCCTCTGGTCAGGGCGATCTTTCTGCAAACAGGACTCAGTAAACCACCCCAGGACTGACAGGGTGGTGTCTGTCATGGTTTTGGCTGAGAGTTGGGAGGTAGGCTTGAGCTAGTTTTGGAACTCTAGCTCTTCTAACAACGTAAGTGTGTTCACCATCCTGCATCGGAAAGGTTGCCCTGAGTCCCTCACTCGCAGGGTGAGGTGGCTGTGCCGCACCCCAGGCTGCTGAGTGACATCTGCAAGCCCTACCTAGCAGATCCGGGAAGGAAAGCATCATCTGGGAGGTGTTTCCACTGATACAGGTGTCAGCATAGACAGAGGAGAGAGCCACAGAGTCAGCAACACTTTATCTTGCAATCCATCACCAACCCGGTATAAAATAAACCTGCAGCACGAGATAGTCTTTGTCATGAATGTAACGGAAGACGGACCTCAGAGCACTGACCACTGTCTGCAAGAAGCCTTTGTTTTAAAAATTTATATGCTGATGTCACAATAAACTCTTAAAAAAATAGAAACAAACTGTGGTTTCTTATCTCTGCCTGAGGTACGATATTCACTTCAAAATAACGATCTGAAGCACAAAGCCTCGTGTTCCGTCATCGCTGCCGCCTGAGCAAATGTAGAGCAAGTACCCATCTCGGCAGCACCCAGCCAGACGCTGCAGACATCTGAGGGCTGCAGGCCAGCGGGCTCTGTGCGACACGGTGCACCCAGCACGTGCCAGAAACATGAGGCCCGAGGCCTGGCACGTGAGGGACGGTGCAGGCACGGGACGCACCTGGAGAAGAGGCATCTCTCTCTGTCATACAGCCTCTAGGCCAGGCCTGTCATCCCGCTCGGGGACCTTCCTACGTGTGGAAATGGAGCAGCGCCAGTCAGGCAGCGGCCCCCCTGGCCTGGGCCAGCCCAGTGCCTCCCGCCCTGACATCTGGGATGCGTTGCACTTGCGCAGGACTCACCCTGCTCGCTGTCGGGCCACCAGCCGCCTCCCTCCACTGGGTTGGCTGGGGGCCTTGAACCAGACAGCAGAGGCCACATCTGGACCTTGCGCTGCTGACTGGGGGTCTCGCTGGCAGCCAGAGCCTGCCCAGGGCGTGATGTCTGTGGGGAGGCGATGGTCACACCTGCTGCTGCATTGCTGTCTGCTGGGCCGCCAGTGCTGTCGCAGGAAGCACCTGAACCTGCTGCCATCCAGCCACGGCTGAGCCTGTACATTTGAGGGGATGTGACAAATACAGTGTTCTGTTAAAAAAGGCTTCACACTGCTCTCATCTTCCTGGGGACATATTAGTCCTCCGAGAGGCTGAAGTCTGTCTCAGTGAGTAGGGAGCGCGTAGTCAGTGCTGAAACAGGACAGTAAGCCCTGGCATTAGCTGCGTCTGATCTCTGAGAAAGCGACACCCAGAATTACCAGAATTCTGCTCAGGGAACGTGAACAGCCCAGTGACCGGGTCTCGCTCTTGGTCACGGGACACACGTCATTAGAACTGACTTCCAGGTGGCGGTGTGAGGAGCACTGCAGATCTTCCAGAGAAAAACCACGACTCACAGAAATTACCACAACCCAGCCATTTAAAGTCTGCAAATTGTCCTATGGGCAGACAGCAGTGGAGACATATTTATCCAAGAAAACCTAATCCTCAGGAAGAACGAGAGTCCGCTGCGTTTGAGCCCTGCAGCCTGCCCAGCTCAGCTGACGCACACTCCCCTCCTGGTGTGTCAGCCAAGAACACTGGCCACTGAGCCATGAGAAGGTGCTTGTCGCTAGTCACCAGGAAAACGCACAGCAAAACCAGCTGGAGAGGCCACCCCTCCCCCGGGAGGAGCAGAGACAGACAATGCAGGTGTGCGTGAGGCTGCAGGGAAACGATCCCTTGCACGCTGCCCGTCAGGTGTGAAACTAGTGAGACGTGGAGCCGCCATAGGACCCCAGGATTCCACTCCCAGGCACAAGCCCAGAGAAATGGAAGTGTCCACACGGGAGCCTGTGCACACGGGTTTACAGCAGTGTTGTTCATCATACTGAGGGGCGGAGACAGCCCAAACATCCGGCGACGTGTGAATGGATAACAAACGGCATGTGCATCGTGGGTGGAAAGGGGCGAAGCACAGACCTGTGACAACATGGGAGGCCCTCGAGAGCATCCTAAGGACAGAAGCCAGACCTCAAGGCCACATCCTGGGTTATGCCTCTGTGCGGAGCGCCCAGAACAGACACCCACGGAGACGGAAAGGAGATGAAGGTTGCTGGGAGGGGGACTGGGGGGCGGGGGAGCTGGTAATGGGTGTGGGGTTTCTTTTTGGGATGACCAAAAAGTTTAAAATTGGATGAGTGAATTGCTTACTATGTGAATTGTAGCTCAGTGAAGCACTTTGTTAAAGAAATACACACACGCATGTCACCTGGTGACAGGGTCACTGAGAACACCAGGCTGCTGGCCTCACCTGCCTTTTCTTTACATTCAGACAGGCTTGGATCAGGGCTGAGGGAGAAGATCAGGGCGTTGACAAAAGACAACAGCTGAACGTTCTGATTTTTGGAATAAATGTCAGCAGAACACAAAATTTGATTATCGTATCTACTGAGGATTGTGGAGTAGCTGGGCCCGTGGGGACAGGAGGCTGGGGTCTGCCCAGGAGACTAACTGGTACATGGGGCAGCCGGGCAAGCACGCCCCAGCAGGACACAGAAGTTCCAAGAAGGTCAAATAAAAAGCGGGGAGAGTATTCTCGTGTGGGGCACAGACACAGACAGGGGTCGGGGCAGGGACACCGGCACAGGCCGGGTCAATGGAGAGGGCGAAAGGTTGGGAGGACATGGCTGCTCACCTGCAGGGCCGCGGGCCCCGTCTGTGAAGGCTGGCCACCGCTGTCTGCTGCCGAACGAGTGGAGGGATCTCCGCAGCCTGCGGAGCAGAGGACAGGAAGGAGACTAAGCAGGGCACAGCGGGCCACGGCCTGTCCCAACGCTCCTGTGTCCTCACTTCTAGGCAAGGAAGGGCCTCTGAAGTAGGAAAGTGACCATCAGACAAACACGGACGTCACCCCACCTGGGCCTGAGAATGGCGGCTGCTCGTCACTTTGACCTTGAGGGAGGTACCAGCCTACCTGCAGCTGCCCCTGCACCTGCTGGGTCCCCATGGCCCTGGGCTCCTGGGACACGGGCGAAGTCAGAAACAGAGTCTGTAGGGTGGGCCGGGGTGAGTAGGTGACGTTTTGCTCCTGGCCTGTCTGGTGCTGGGCATTCACCTGGACAAGCATCAAAAGAGTGGAAGGGCAGACCACCTGCTGGAGAACCACATGCTTGGTTCCAGAGAAGCACCCCTCTGCCTGGCATGGGCCTCCCTTGCAGTGACGGGTCACCAGTATAGGGTGGGGGAGAGGAGACATTCTGCATCATGAAGGCTCCCTCTCTCCGGGAGACCATGCAACCCCAGAACTGTATTTCCCTGGAGTTTAGGAAGTGAGCACATTCCAGATGGCCGTGGCCTCTGACCTCTCGGCCCTCCTAGGGGATACCCTGGCCAGGCCAGCTCACTAGCACCATGGCACACAGAAGCCAGCATGGGCCCCCTCAGCCCCCCAGGGGTACAGAGCCAGACAGCCGTCCCCACTGCCCCTCGTCTCCTTGTGGCTCTTGCTCTCAGCACAGCTGTGCCAGGTTGGGGCAGGAGGCAACAGGTGTGTCACCCAGAAAAGCCACAGGTGCCAGCAGGCTACCAGGAAGGCTGGGGCTGGGAGAGGAACACACTGCAGGGTAGTGCTCTGGTGGCGCCCGGTGGGGAGATCCTCCATCAGCAAAAAAACAGGGAAACATTCTCCAGTGTTTCCCAGTGAGCATGTGGGGAAAAAGAGTACAAGACCCTCCTGCTAAGGAACCGTGTAGAAGGTGCCTGCCAAAGCTTTCCCCGGCAGGTGTGTGGAGGGGGCGGGCTGTGCCCTGCCAGCTCCTCCTCCCCGGGCACAGTGACACCTTCCCATACAACAAGCAAAGGTTCTAGGAGGGTCACTGAGCCGTATCCCGCAGCTCTGCACAGCCTGGGCAGGAGGTGAGAGCTCTGCCCCGGTGCCCAGGCAGGGTCTTCAGCATCCGTGCGTGTTGTTGAAAGTGCACACAGCTGCCAGGGCGTCAGTGCAGAGCCTCGGGGGTTAGAACGCAAACAAGAGGATTGTGGTGCCACCTGCTACTCTGCAATGTGATGCTCACCATCATCCCTGTAACACGACACGTGATCATCGAGGGTCACCCCACATCCCTGCTCCCCCTGAATCTGGATTCCCATCCCATTCCCCTGAAGATCTAGTCCTAATGTGTTTCATGCTTGGAATTCCTTTATAGATCCCAGATTGGGCTCCTCTGCAATAGAAACGTGCTCACAAATTGGCCACATGGCTCTAAGTGTTCAAAATAATAATCTTCTGGATTGAGAAGTCAGTACAATTATTATTGGTATGCCAGTCATCACAATAACAAGTATATTAGGAATTATGGTAAATCATTACTAACTATAAGAAGTAAAGTTAAACTCTAACAAGATGGATAGGACTGGTCTATTTTCTTGCGCTAGCCCATCTGTCCATGGATGACAGAGGATTAGGTGTCAAATCTATACTTGTTCTTCCTATTTATAAATCAAAACATTGAGAAAATCCCATTCCCATTAAGAAGCTGATGGTACCAGAAAGCATTTTGTTGTAGAAACGTCACTCGACTCTTTGATCCCTTTCAGAGCTATATGCAAAAAATCACCCAGTGTCGATCGCCAAAGATTACGCCGCATGCTCTCAGCTGGCAGCTGGGTGGGTCCTCCTCCAGATTTTGCTGAAACACAAACCAGAAGCCGCTGATGGGAAGCAGCTGTGTGGGCTGGCTGCTCGAGCCGCACCCTCGGCCCGCAGCCAACACCGCCTTGTCGTCTCGAGTTGTTCACACGCAGGCAGTGGCTGACAGTCAGACATGGGATGTGAGGGTTCTGGGGACGGATCTCCTCACGGCCGCTGTCACTGCGTCCTTGGGAGCCTGTGTGTAGCTCCGTGTGATGGTTGATGCTCGCTTGGCCTGCTCCTCCTTGGACTACGCTGGGGCTCCTCCCTGCTCTCTCCGGTGCCTGGGTCCCTCTCCGCCCCTTCTCATGCTCGAGTGTGAGCTCCCAGGAACGTGCACAGGTGTGCGCAGGGCCGGCGAGGCCAGGGGCATCACGGCACAGCTTCCCAGAGCATCGCTTTTACCTCCCATCGAGGGTCATGTTCTTTCCTGAGTGAGAGTCTGCCTGGTGAGTGTTCTGTTTGGTCTGGATGTCTTTATCTCACTCTGGTTTTTGAAAGACACCTTTATCTCAACACTCTGATGATGTTTCTGGCTTCCATCGCTGCCCCTGAGAGGTGGGCCGTCTCTCTGATGCCCATGTTTCCTCCTGTGCTCTGTGATCTCAGTGTCCGAGTTCAGTCTCTGTCTGGCCAGGATCTTTTCCTTATCCTGATTGAGGCCAGTTGAGTTTCCTGAATCTCTGGACTGGTTTCTTAAACCGGTTCTGGAAAATTCTCAGCCATTACCTCTTTCTCCCATTCTCTGCTGGAACTCAATGCAACATTAGCCCTTCTCACCCCTCATTCTGCCTCCTTTGTCTCTTGTGCATCTTTTTTTCCTGTTCTCTGTGCTGCAATAGGTTTATTTTCTCCAGGCCTCTCTCCAGTCACAAACCCTCTAATATGCTGTTTGTTGAAAAGTGCAGTATTATTTGCATATAATAAAAGTCACCCTTTTCGACGTATGGTTCTGAGTTTTGACAAAGGCACCACCAACACAGTCAAGAGCAGACCATTTCCATCCCCCGAAAGCCCTCTTGCCCCTTTGAGGTCAGTCCTTCCCCTGCACTCAGCCCTGGAACCACAGAGCTGTCACCTGTCCCTGCGTTTGTGCCTTTTCCAGAATGTCATACAGACGAAACCACGCCGTGGGCAGCTGTTCGAGCCTGGCTTCTTTCTTTTCACATCATACACTCGAGACTCCTGCCTGCATCCCGAGCACAGGCAGTGCAGTCCTCTTAGGTGCAGTGGTAGCCCACCATGCAGGGCGGGGTGGGGGTGGGAGGGTTGTTTCTCCATCAACCAGGCGAGGAGCGCTTGGGCTGCTCCTGGTTGGGCGAGCATGAAGAAGGGCTCAGACACCTGCTGCAGGTGGTTGTGTGGTGGGAGGCTGTCGTTCCTGTGTGAACAGTGAGAAGCGGCCTTATGGGTCACAGGGGAAATGCCGTGCTGCTTCCAGAGGGGCCCTGCCCCCAACAAGTGCAGAGCTTCTGGGCGCCACATCCTCACCAGCACCCGGTCTTTTCTGTCTGGTTTTTAGCCGTCTGATAGGTGTGCAGTGGCTTTCCATTGTGGTTTTAACTTGCGTTTCCCTAATGATGACGGTGAACATCCTTTCATGTGTTTATCTGCTTTGGTGAGGCATCTCTTCAAATCTTTTGCCCACTTTTAAAAATGGGTTATTTTCTTATTCAGTTTTGACAATTCTTTATTGAGAAATATACATGTTGACCTGTGGCCCCCGTTCCTGACACAGAGCTTCTAAAACCCATGGAATCTCCTGAGTGACGGGTGCTAGGGGTCCTTTTGTTCCAATGAGGTGACTCTGGGTGGGCTCCTGGTTGGGGTTTGGCCACCAGAAAGACCACACCAGGATTAGAAGCCTGGAACTTTTAGCCCCAGAGAGGGGAGAGGGGCTGCAGATTGAGTTGATAACCGTGCCCACGTGATGAAGCCGCTGTAAAAACCCGAAAGGACAGGGTTTGGAGAGCTTTGGGGCTGGGAGCAGGCGGAGGCACTGGGAGAGGGGACCTGGAGAGGGCAAGGCAGCCCGGCCCTCCCACTCCTGCCTGGCGCAGCTCTTCTGTCTGGCAGTTCCTGAGTTAGATCCTTTTATCATAAACTGGTAATCGGGTGAGCACCCTGTTTTTCCTGAGTTCTGTGACCCATCCTAGCAGATGATCCAACCCAAGGAGGTGGGGTTGGATCCTCCAATTCACAGCCGGTCGGTGAGAAGCACAGGCGAACAGGGTCTGAGGTGGCCGGGGGCCGTCTGTGGGCACTGAGTGCCAGACTCAAGTCCTTGTGGACCAGTCGGTGTCACCAAGAACTGGAGAAGTGCTGAGTGTGGAAAAACCCACACGTCTGGGGTCAGAAGTGCTGTGAGGAGAGGAAACGAGTGATTTTCCTTTTTTTCATATGTTCTGTCACACGTCCTTCATTAGCTACGTGTTTCAAAATTTTTCACCCAGGAATTTGTCTTCTCATTCTCTTAATAAATGTTGCAAAAAATTTTAATTTTATTGACGTTCCGCTTCTGAATTTTCTCCTTTTATAGATTGTGCTTTTGGTGTTGTATCTAAGAAGTCTTCACCCCACCCAAGGTCACAAGGAGCGTTTCCTGGGTTTCCTACTTTTACGTTTAGGTGTCCCATCCTTTTGAGCTAATCTTTGCACACGGTGTGAGAAGACTGAGATCACTTCCAGTAAGTTTGAATTTTAACAGTCGCATCCTTAATTCCGAGAGGCTCTAGTCGGTCCACTGTCTTCTGCTTGCTCACTGAGGACCATGTCTTCTTGCTTTCCGCTTCCTCCTCTGTTCCTTTAACCGCGTTCCGTGTGCTCTGCATTTCCTGTTCTAGGTCTGAGGTCTGACGTCGCTGCAGGTGTGACTGACTCACTCCTCAGGCCCTTCCCATTGTGGACGGTGATTTTCTATTATGAGCCCCTATTCTGGAGGTCTGCTGGTTGCAGCTCCTCGAGGCCTGGAGGTGGGTTCTTCTCCCAGAGGCCTGGGGGCACTTCAGGTCCAGAAGCTCTGGCAGTTGACATTCCCACTTCGCAATTCTTTTGAATATGTAAAGGGTATAAATTCAGGCCCTAATGTGGGGTCCCGAGAAAGCTGGCTGCAGGGCCTGCTCGCCTGCCGCTGCCTGGCCACTGGCTGGTTGCCTGAGCTTCAGGCGTGGCTGCACGTGCAGGGGCTGGGCGCCCACGCTCTGTCCTCCTGCGTGACAAGGAGACGCAGCACGGCACACAGCACACCGGCCCGATGCCAGCTGCTCCGAAGAGGGGCCTCCATGGCAGGGCCTGAGCATCGAGACCACGCTCGCCGCCGCCGTGGAGAGGTGCCCGTGCGCCACCTCCCGCGATCATACCCAGGGGGCAGGGTGGGCTCTGCTCCACTTGCTGCGAGAGAGGGGAGCAAAGGGAGGGGCTCTGGCAGGCCCTCCTCCAAGTTAACGGACCGGAAACAACGGAACAACGACTTCTGCACAGAACAGACGGGTGGCGCGATCGTTCAGTAGCTGCTGCGCGTTTCCTGAGGCAGATGTGGCACTGCTGCTTCTGCGGTGGCCCCATCACGACGCTGATCCTGGGCATGCTGATGGCGACCGCCATGACCCTGATGACGACACAGCCACAGGGACAGATTCTCGAGGGCTTTGCAAGAGCAACCTGGGCCATCAGAAGTGCCGGAGCCGACGTCTGTCCCGGGCCTTGCAGTTGGGACATGGAAACACGACTCGAAATGACAAGAAACAAGATCACACGAGTCCCCATCATGTCGCGAGACCTTACCATTGTTCTGCAGCGACAACGAGCACTTACAAGCCGGGCCACCTGGAAGCTGGCTGCCATGGTGCCCGTGAGCAGGGCTCCTGGCCGCGGAGCTGTGACAGTGGTGAGCTGGGGGCTCTGCTGCTGTGCAGGCGGCTGGAGCTGCACCTGCACCTGTGCCGTCGGCTGTGGGGGCCCCAGAGGGGCTGTGGTGGGGGGCCTGCTGGGGCAGCTGCAGTTTCTGCTTCTGGAGTCTAATCTGGTGCTCCTGGAGGTACAGATAACACCATGTGTTTCCTTCGTTGCAATGGCTTTTATGCAGATGTGGAAACTTATGTCTTCCTTCCCTCCTCACTCAGGCGTGCCTAGCTGACATGCGTCAGGGAAGGCTGTCACAAAGGCACATGTCCCATCAGAGCGTAGCTGTCATCACTGGACGACGGCGCAGACGTGGTCATGACCTGCCGGCTCTCAGGTGCCATGTGAGTCTCAGGAACAGCGTCTGAGAGGTTCAGAAGCGCGGAGCCCTTAGGGACGCTGGCCCTCTCCTTGGAAAGCACAGGCAGGACTGGCTCACTTGCCTGCGTTAGCCTCCCTGGCCCCCTCTCACGCCCTGGATAAGACACAGGCCTGTGCTGGACAGAGCTCACCCCCCGGCCTGGAGACGCTGGCCCCAAGCTGGCCCTTGCCTGGCTGCTGGGGATTCGGGGAGGGTTCCCACCTTTCTCCCACCCAAAGCCCTCCACAACCTGGACCTGCACCTCCTTCCACCTGAATTCCAAGCTCTAACTCCCAGACCCCTATGCCTCCCTAAGTGCACTGCCTCGACTTTCCCGCCTCCCTGGAACCATCTGGAACATTCCTGTGTGCCCTGTAAGACTCAGCTAACACATCACCTCAATTCTTACAGGGTCAGGCACCCCTTCCTCTGTGCCTACAGCACCTTTCCTA